AGCTTAGATTAGAAACAAGAAAAAGCTGTTGTAATTCTGGCTGCAGTACCCACAAATGTCCAAAGGAGAAGCCAATGCCACCACCTAAACTGCTGGCGTCAGCACTGCTTACGTTACTCAGATCAGTAAAACAGTCACACCTCTTTATGCCAAACACGGAAAAGTACCTTGTAAAGGGAACACATGAAGAACAGTACATTCCCAACACAGTGAAGCAGAGCTACACTATCTGTGGTCAACAGGCCCTCAGGGGCGGGCCCTGTGCTGAGTAGCAGGTTAGTAAATAACAAGTACGAGCTGCTTCCTGCCTTTAACCGGCTTATAACGGATGAGAGGAAGAGAGCTGGCGTTCTCACAAACAGGAACTGACATAAACTAAAGTTTTTTAAATAATAAAGCTAGCGTGTTATAATAAGGTTATGGAGGCTGAGGGGCCTGCATAAGCAAGCTAACATCTCTGAGGCATGCATACAGCTAGTTCAGGTTTTCTCAGCGCAGCCCTAGGCACAAAGTTTCAGGCTTACAAAAGAAGAGAATTAAAACAACCCAACTTTCTTGGTTACAAATAAATGTCATGCATCATGAGCCAAGACCCCACAATAGTCCTTCATACAGTAGAGTAACCAGCTGTCTGATAGTGGAGGAATCTGATTCAGCCATACATAAAATAGACTACAGTATAACTACTGGTGCTGCTGTTGAAGCAGGAATGGCAAACCATCTCAATTAAAATCGAGGTGCTACTTGGCTGCTGAGCCACTTTCCTGAGCTTCTTCAATTCCTGTACATCAAATACTAAGTCCCTGTAGCTTGAGGTAATCCTTACATTCTACAGCATGTACATGCAATGTGCTCATGTATGTTTTACAAGCGATCAAGGCATGAAATTCACCTCCAAATATGGAACTATCTGGAGGAAGAGAGTAAAACATCTCTGAGACAGGCATATAGCTGAAGCTCAGACCCTCCTCATAGTGCACATACATTTGAAACAGAGAAGACACACATGTTAACCTTTAATGTGAAGAACAGATACTAAAACCAAAAATGAACCAAAGAAATGCCAAAGTAATGTATGTACTATCTCACTGGAAAAGGAAAATCAAATAAATAGGAATAGTAGACATATATATGTGAGGAAGACCTGCTCTTTCTCTCACGCCTCCCACGCTCTGCTAATGGTACTGGGGAGGGGGGGGTTGTATGTACATGGTGTCTTCCATAATGACTTTCCACCTTATTTTTTTGAGACAATGTCTTTCACTGAATGCAGACCTTGCTAATTTGGCAATGGACCAATAAGCTGAAGAGATCCTCCTGTATCTTCATGTCATCATGTCCAGCTTTTAAATGAATGCTGTGGACCTGGACTCGGGTCCTCATGCTTACACAGCAAGCATTTTATCTCTAGCATTTTAACTGATTATCTCTCTAGCAAGAAAACCTGTTCTTAAAGAAAAACTGACCCAAGATATAAAAATTTTTCTCCAGATATAACTGATTCAGAAAGAAGCATCTCTAGATAGTACTTCAGTTCACTAGGATGACAGCTAGTCACAGAATTCCTTACCCCTCTCAGGGACCAATTTCCTGTCTAACTTTAATCTTCTGAGTGTCTGCTTCTGGTCCATGTTCTTGAATTCATTTCTTATATTTTTTTAACTCAAATACCCCCCTAAATCAACTATTATACAAACACATTAAGATAAAGAAACATCAATTTAATTACTTTTTCCTTACTTATGTATAGTTAATTCAAAGTACCTTGGAAGTTTGAGTAAAGCTATTTTTCACCCCTGTCAATCCAAATCATACCAAAAGTTTAAAAGAAGAAAAAAAACACTTGTAGGAAAACGAGTTATGAATACCTGGAACTCAACAAGGAGAGATGAGCCCACTGTGCTAGAGGCAAAAACATGCAGAAAAAAAATTAAAGAAACAAAACATTATCCTGTCACAATTTCCTTCTTGCTGACCTACAGCAGGAACTCAGTAGTTACCCAAAACCATGTCTGCTTTCAAGATAATAATGTTACCAGCTTCAACAGTAAAGACCTTAACAGGTACAGGAGTATGGGCTATGAGGAAGTGAAAGTTTGTGAGGGGCTGGTTTATTAAATAATGGTACACACTGGACAATCAACGCCCACATGTTCTTTGGCTATTAAGGTATTTGGCTAAGTATTTGCTCAATAGTAAAAGAAAACTGGCCTCATAATAAGTCTGGCTCATGCTAAGCAGAGACTTGGGACTTCACAAGTTCCCTATTTCTGAATGTCCAGTGCCATCCTTTCTGTCAATGGGATTCAGAATCCAACAAGAACAAAGTGCGCCTCCTCCTACTTCTGCCACATGATTTTCAATGAAATTTTTAGGAAAGTATTTTTTTTCATATTTCAAAATATGGAAGAAAAGGCCAAGCATGAGGTAATTCATTACTTCTTGTATTTTCATTTTAGCAAGAGAAAAATGAGCAATCCAGGTATTTAAGGGCTGAATTCCTGTCTCATGACACAGTTTATAGCCAATGCAATAAAGTTAACTTCTCTTTCCCTACTGTTAACACAAGAAAGAAAGAAAGAAAGAAAGAAAGAAAGAAAGAAAGAAAGAAAGAAAGAAAGAAAGAAAGGAAGGAAGGAAGGAAGGAAGGGAGAGAGAAAGAGAAAGGGGAGAACGGAGAAAGGATGTTGCAGGTTTATGTTTACTTTTTTCTAAATATAAAATGCTAGATTATAAAGTATAACTAGGAGATGAAAGATACAGACAGAATGCATGACAGACTCTTAGCTAAACTACCTGAACATCAAAGGATGGAAGGAGAAATCAATAATTTTCCAACAGTACTTTCCACAGCAAAATAATGAGAAAGAGCTTTATGCCCATGTGGGAAAAATGTAATTCTTATATTTTTAAAAGCACAATTCATTCTCTTTATTAAAAATAACTAGTCTCCTTTAATATTCATATAGTCTCTCTTTTTCTCTATGCTTCCCGCGCGCGTGTGTGCACGTGTGTGTGTGCACGTGTGTATGTGTGCACGTGTGTGTGTGTGTGTGTGTGTGTGTGTGTGTGTGTGTGTAACTTGTTCTCCTCCCTAGAAAAACATTATTAACAATGATTTCAACAAATGGCTTGACAGCTGCTGCCCTTACTGTATGTTATACTGCTTTGGTCAAATGAAGGCATATCTTGAACTATTTTTAACAATTAAAAAGCTATTTAGTGATTAAAAATATATTTCTGTAGTAAGTCCAGTACCACATTCGTGGCAGCACCCATCAGGTCCTTATGAGTTCAAGACCAATTTCCAAAGGTTTACTTCCCCTTAACCCTTAAACACATTGCATCAGAAGAACAACAAATCCTTAGTTCTCATGAGTCTTAATGAAACTGTTGTCAGCTGGCCCCTTGCTACTCAAAGGGCACTATGAGGCTGGTAAAGCAATATATTGTTTGAGAACAAGATGAGCATAGGGATTTTATGACAAGGCTGTGATCACCAGAAGCCACAGCTAAAGTATTCCCAAACCCTTAGCCACTAAAGATTTTTAATTCAAAAAGTTCACTAGTTAACTGACAATTTCTGTGACAGTGACAACAGCTATTGAGAACATTCCATTCTACGGTGAGTAAATACTTATTTCTAACCATACTCCACCTATAGTCTTTTCTTTAAAAATAAATGACTTAGGCAGCTAGAAAGATGGCTCAGTAGTTAGAACCGTTTATTACTCTTGCAGAGGACCTGAATTCAGTTCCCAACACCCACTCAGGTAGCTCATAACTGGCTAGAACTCCAGCTCCAAGAGATCCAACACCCTCTTCTGGTCTTTGAGGGCAATGCACTTGATCAAGAATGAATGGAAAAAAAAAAAGAATTGAATGAAATGTCCCCCACAGTCTCAAGTATTCGAATGCTTGGTCCCCAGTTGATGTCACTGTTTGGGGAGACTCAGGAGGCATGGCCTTCTTGGAAGAAGTTTGTCACTGAAGGTGAGCTTTGAAAATTTAAAGATTTATATCATTTCTATTTTCTCTCTTCCTCTCCTCTTTCTTTCTCTCTCTCTCTGCTTTGTGCTTGTGATTTGCGATATGAGCCCTCAGCTTCCTACTGCAGCTACCACACCTGCTGTTTGCTGCTTTCACTCCATCACCCTGAGCTTTTACCCCCTGAACCATAAGTGCAAACAAATTACTTCTTCCCTAAGTTGCCTCGGTTTATCACAGCAACAGTAAGTAATACCATGTTCACGTGCACATACCGATATACACATAATTTAAAACAAAATAGTTTATTTTTTTAAATAAATAAATAGTGCAGTATGCAAATCACTGAGGAATTCCAATCACTTCTGTTTTCCTGGTTAGTGTAGAGCACTCTAAGGAAGTGTCAAATGGAAAGTCTATGAAGAACATATTGTCATTTTATAAGAATAGCAGATGGGCTGTAAACGGCTGTGCTTTTTTTTCATGTGGCCTAATATTTTTAACATTCAAAAATGTTAGTATAAACATTTTTGCTTGTATAACCTGGCTGATTATTTAACACATTCTTCACCAACAAGTATAAACATTTGAGAAGAAATAAAAAATGAACAAAGAAACTTGGGCACACAAATCTAAACACTCCATAGTTGACAAATTAATCGGCTCATGATTTCTCTGAAGCCTACACTTCAGAAGTCTGTAGGCAATGGCTTAAAACACACAAGTAGGAAACATCACTTCCAATTTTATTTTCCTTTGGTTAGAAACAAACAGTGAAGCTACATGACCAGGAGTAAGAATCAGGATGTTTTCTACATATACAATACGCAGTCTGCCATCAGGCCATGTTCAACTTCTTCAAATGCTGTAGAGCTCCAGGTCAGGCCTGCATCACAGCACGCACACTGCTGTGCTTGCCCCACTGATGTCACTGACTCCTGTCTACCCCAGTCTGAGTCTTGTATACAACAGGTACTCAAAATGTTTGCTTTATTCTCTCAAAATGAACTTACCCTTCGAAATGACACAACATAAAACGTGTCTCCCCTCCTGCGGATGGCTTCAAAGAAGCCTTGGTAACTTCCTGGTGAAGCGTAATACACTTGCAGCTCATTCCCAGAATTCCTACGGATAAAGAAGAGAGAAAATATTATTAATATTTAAATGTGTTGAGTCTTCCCAAGTCCTTCCATTCTAAAGCCACATCTGAATCTTTTTTGTTTTGTTTTGTTTGTTTTTAAGACAGGGTTTCTCTGTGTAGCCTTGGCTGTCCTGAACTCACTTTGTAGACACGTCTGGCCTCAAACCCACTTGCTTCTGCCTCCCAGAATGCTGGGATTATAGGCATGCACCATTGCACCCAGCTCACATCTGAATCTTAAGAATCTCTTTCAACCAAAACAGTAGAGTAGCATTTTAACAATTTTTACTTTCTAGTATTTTCTAATGGGCATATAATTATAGGGTACCACGCAATGTTCTGCTATATTTGACTTAGGCACATGATATGTTTCTATTTATTGCTATTGTTGTTTTGAGTGCTGGAAGATCAAACATAGGGACTCACACCTGGTGTATTAACCTGCTTAGTTCACAGAGCAAGTCAGAATGAGCTATGACTACAATTCTGCCCTGGGACAGCTAGCCTCCTGGTCATGACTGCATTACTTCCCACACTGTTTTCCTTCCAGGTTACACTAGCCTTGATGATGACATTTGAACTGGAGGACACTCTTCAGAATCTCTCAAAATCTCCTGTAATGCTATGTAGAACAAAGATTTTTTTTTTTTAAGCCAAACAGACAGGGTCTGAAGTCTAGTTCTACCACTTAGTTCATGACTTTGAAAAACAAAACAAAAACTCTTGATTTTCATATATAAAATACATTTTGAATTATTACATAAGCTTCAAGATAAGATGTCTGTAATGCACCCAGCCAGGGTGGAGGAGATGGTTCAGCAGGTAAAAATACCTGCCACAAAAGCCTAAAGGCCTGAGTTCAATCCCCAGAATCCACATTTAAAAAGCCAGATCAAAGGACACTACAATACTCCCAGCACTACTACAGCAATATGAGAGCCTGAGGCAGGAGAACCATCTGGAAGCTTGAGGGCCAGCCGGCTCAGGGTTCACAGTAACAGAAACAAGAGTAGCCCTGCATAAGTAAGGTAGAAGGAGAGAAGCAACAAATAACACATAAAAATCAAGAACAACAAAGCAATGAGTACTTAGACTTTTCAGCAAAATTACGGCTGAAAAACATTCTGACTAAATCTGTACTTAAGAGATTTAAGAGAGCTTCTTTTTATTGGGATTGCTATAGTTGGTAGTATACGTTCACTTAAACTGACATAAAAGTAACAGAGGAGAACAAATGGGAGGCATGAGTTTCAACTTCACTAAAATAGAGGTCAAGCTCTTTGTCCAAGAGCCTCCACATCTTACCTGATGCTGGTGGTTTCTGTGTACTGGACAGCCATCAGCTGAGAACTTGAGCCCTGTTCCAGAGCACCCTGGAAGAGATAAAAAAAAGGTTTAAGAAATAACACAAAAAACTCCCCATCCCGACTCAGACTTGGATTTGTTATTTAGAATCCTTCAGGTCACACTGTAGGCTAAGAATATAGCTTATGAAGTCTTACTAAGACGTCTGAGGCTTTCCACCAGTTTACAGAACTAATGTGAAAGGTCAGTCCGGCGCGAGTTTATGACCAAGCTGTACAAATATTACTGCCCCTATAACAACGGATATTGGTCAGCAATCATTATGTTACAAAGTCCTAAGAAACAGGAAGGGCTCAAAATGAAACAAAATTTCCACTGTTGACCAAATTAACACAAATTCCTCACACCTTACACACCTATTGGCTACATCTCATGAAAGGCATCTAAGCCACCACTCTTTAGAACAGAGAACAGTTTAGTACGGAACCATCAGTGGCTAACATATGCTACACTAGAAACCTCTGTTTCACGAGGCATTTATCCTGTACTTTTAAGCTAATATTTAGGAGAATTTTGTAAAGAAATCAGAATTCAAAGGTATATTATTACTATTATGTTAGAAAGTGACTTTATTGTTCCTTTACAACAATATGTATATTTTATATATAAATAAGTTTAATCATAAATCTCCTGTAATTAATTACTGTTGTTCATATATACATCTTTACATAAAGGCTTCAAAATTAGGTATCTGATTTCCTTTAAGAGGCCCAGGGCATGATTGGGGGAAAAGTTCTTTAAGATGATAAAATGTGATAAATATTAAAACAGAAGCAAATACAAAATGCTTAAAAGGAAAACAAATTTCTTTGGTAAATGGAACCAATGGACAAAGATGACTATGACGTCTCCAACTTCTGGTTCTACAGCAAGGGCCCTATATGATGATATTGCTGATGATTAGCTTATATATATCCATGAATATACATTACTGTCATGTTAATCACTTAGTAGGCACCTCAATCCTCAGATCAACTGCCATGCTACAGAAGTTCTTGTATAAAGGTAACTTTTAACTGAATAATGGCCTCAAGCTCAAGAGTAATGATGCTGGAGGTTTTATTACAGTATGTTGCTGTAAATGTTATAAATTATTGTTATAGTCTCTTACTATGCTTCACTAACACATTAACCTTTACATAGCTATGTATGTATAAGAAAAAATAATATATACAGCTCTACTACTATCCATGTCACATGTCATGTACCACAGCCTACCTTACAATAATATTAGAACAGTATAAAACCTTAGCTTTAATCCCAGCATTCAGAAGGCAGAGGCAGATGGATCTCTGTTGAGCATAAGGCCAGCCAGAGCTACCTGCTAAGACCCTGTTCCAAACAAACAAACAAACAACATAGTTATATAACTCTACTTGGCCCTCCCTTTGTTTCTTGTAATCTATAAACTGCAGAGCTGTTTCTATTCCTGCTGTAAAAATACAAGCTACTGAGAGAGGGGTGTGTATGTGTGTCACATTTTATTTTTTTGGTCTGTTAGTTTTACTGGGATATTTATCCATGCTGCTATTTTCCCTCCCTGCTAATCTAACAGCTAGAGTTAATTACTCTGATACAATACCTTACTAAAGTGGAATTTCTTTATAAAGTGATTACAATCTAAAATAACCACTAATTTCTGTTTAAAATCTAATCTTCTACCTAGCTTTACTTTTCCATAGAGAACTTATCTCTCATTTTGAACATGAGTGTGAGTGTGTGTATGTGCGTGTGTGGTAGCGGAATGTGTCTAAGTCCAGAAGTGCCTCCATGGCATGTGCTTCCTTACACTCTGTCACATGCTTTAAATATCCTCTTTGAAAAGCTCTAAGAAAGGGAAAAGAACCACTATTACTTATTATATTGCTTGTTCCGAGAGGGGATGAAGGAAGGGAAGGAGGGGAAGGGAGAGGGAGGGAGAGAAAAGGAGACAGACAGAATGAGGAAGCTCAGGAAGCAGCACCGTGCCTGAGCTGAGGAGGACACGCCAGTGCTGTAAGACCTGAACTAAGGGCTACAGAAGCTGGACAGAGTTTCAGTGGCAATGGCTGCCACGTCTGAAGCAGCCACAGGGAGAGATCAATAGGCTTAAGTTCCAAAATCTCTCAGGGAAGAAAGCAACTCAACTGGGAGAAGATTCTCAGCAACTGCACTGCTATTTCTTCAAACACAAACCTGAAGAATACGGGTTTTCTGTTGGTTGTTTGTCATTCTTCTTGATTTGGTCCTTTCCACTTCATGTCTATGAACCCAGCCTCGAAGTTCATGATTCAATCTATAAAACAGATTAATCAAATATGTTTAATAGAAGTTAACCGCTTTACTCTTTTGTTGGAAATTAATTTAATCATTCTGTAGAACCCGGAGAACACCCCAACATACCTGACTACTCAACAATGCTTTTTTATTTAAAAAAAAAAAGACATGTAATATTGTTTTTGAAATTATTTTCATTTAATGTGCATAGGAGTTCTACCTGCATGTATGCCTGCACTGCACCATGTGCGTGTAGTCTATGGAGCCAGAAAAAGGCATCAGATCCCTTGATACTGGAATTATAGAGTTGTGTGCTGGTATTTGGGTGCTAGAAATTGAACCTGGATCGTCTACAAGAGCAGCTAGTACTCTTAAGCACTGAACCATCTCTCTAGCCCATTAATATTGTTTTAAATAAAACATGAATTGTTCTAAGAAAACCTCCTCAATCATGAATAGGAAATTCAAAGAAATAAGGGGAAGTTTGTCCAGAACAAAAGCGTCTAGCCTTACCCTGAATTTTAACACTCACTTCATCCTTTAGTTTTTGTTTTTGTTTCATAGTTGAGCAAATGTCCTTGTTGCATAGTGGAACATCTTTCAGATATATGCCCAGGATTAATATAGCTTGGTCTTTTTTTAAAATTTATTTATTTTTATAAATTACAGTTTATTCACTTTGTATCCCAGCTATAGCCTCCTCCCTCATCCCCTCCCAATCTCACCCTCCCTCTCTCATCTCCTCCCATGCCCCTATCAGTCTACTGATAGGCTAGGGTCAGAGGGAAAGGGAGGAGGATATCCCCTATCAGGTCTCATCAGGACTGGCTGTAGCCTGGCAAGGCTGCTCCCCATTCAAGGGGAGGTGATCAAAGTGCCAGCCCACGAGTTCATGCAGAGACAACCTGTGTTCCCATTACTAGGGAACCCACTTGGAGATTGAGCTGCCATGGGCTACATCTGTGCAGGGATTCTAGGTTATCTCCATGAATGGTCCTTGGTTGGAGTATCAGTCTCAGAAAAGAATCCTGGGTCCAGATTTTTTGGTTCTGTTGCTGTCCTTGTGGAGCTCCTGTCCCCTCCAGGTCTTACTATCTCCCCCTTCTTTCATAAGATTCCTTGCACTCTGCCCAAAGTTTGGCTATGAATCTCAGCATCTGCTTTGATACCCTGCTGGGTAGAGTCTTTCAGAGGCCCTCTGTGTTAGGCTCCTGTCCTGTTCCCTGTTTTCTCCCTCTTCCGATATGTATCCAGTTTGCCTTTCTGAGTGAGGATTGAGCATCTTACCCAGAGTCCTCCTTCTTGCTTAGCTTTTTTAGGTGTACAGATTTTAGTATGTTTATCCTATATTACATGTCTAACATCCACTTAAAAGTGAGTATATACATGTATGTCTTTCTGCTTCTGGGATATCTCACTCAGGATGATCTTTTTTAAATCCCATCATTTGCCTGCAAATTTCATGATTTCCTTGTTTTTACTTGCTGAGTAGTATTCCATTGTGTAAATGTACCACAATTTCTGTATCCATTCCTCTGTTGAGGGACATCTGGGTTGTTTCCAGGTTCTCGCTATTACGAATAAAGCTGCTACGAACATGGTTGAGCAAATGTCCTTGTTGTATAATTGAGCCTCTTTTGGATCTATGCCTAGGAGTGGTACAGCTGGATCTTGAGGTAGCGCTGCTCCTAACTGTCTGAGAAGGCATCAGATAATAAGATATACCTAAACAGGCAGTCATCACATTAAATGGACCCATCACCATCTCTACCTGATCAACTGACAGGCTTACAGTTATCCAACAGGTAATTCAGAACCTCTTGGCCTCGCAGTAAGTCTGAAGAAATGTTCTTCTAAGTCCTGAAGCTCACTATAGGAGGCCATGTGGGTGTTTCTGCAACAATCCATGCCCTCACCTGAGAGACTCTGTCGTATTGATCAGGGGCTGACATGGAGGTGGAGGAATGTAAAGCAACGGTTCCTCACTTAGCACCATTAAGGCTTTGTCGTTGGAAACAGAATGATCATATCTGAAACAAACACACAGTAAAAGTGTTGCCTTGCATCATAAATTTTGTAAAGTTTACTAGTATTAATTTTTCATTAAAATAAACATATACAAATTGAACATGCTGCAAGATTGAAAGGAAGGTAATGAAAAATATACAGTATAAACCATATGGTAGAACTGTCACTTTGTGAGTTTCAAGGAGATGGCAGAGTGATTCACATTTGCTTAGCTACTATTTACTGGGCAGCACGTGGTCTATGTCTTTGGTAAATTTAATGAACTCTAGTATTGCTGGCATACAGGAGGTGACGCAGTAATGAGAGAAATTAAAGGAAAGAGCTATCAGTTGATAGAAAAAAAAAACATTATTGTATGACAAGGCCTAAAGTTTTGTGATATTAAAACAACAACAACAAAAAACCTAAATGGTCTCCCTAAAACAAGTTTGTTTGAAGTGGGATAATAGAGTATGACAAAAAATATTTGGCAGGAAAAAAGTAACAAAGTTGAAAAACAATAAAAATTTTAGAACTGTATCCACAGTTTTATTAGTGACTCATAATAAAACATTAAATGACAATAACTAGTTACGCCATTAACCTAAAAAGTATACTTTTGTAACTATCATACTACTTTATATCACATGAATTCATACCTAGAGTATGATAAAAAACAAAGCCTGAGTTGAAAATTAGAATCACACCTGGGCCCATTATTTTAATCTATCTCACTAAGAAATCTTAAATTTGTTTGAATTTTTTATATAAGATGCTCTAAATTTATAAATTAAATATGCTAAAAAAATAAACACACAAACTTGAACATGGTAAGATTCACACTTTTTATTTATTCATTCAGTATTTGCTGGATACCACCTATGTGCTGGGTAATCCAAGACAGAAGTCTCTATTCTCAAAGACCTAGCAGGGAAGACATATCAAACACAAGAAAAATGCATAAAATACAGCCACACTGTGCTAATTGTTGTAAAAGAAACACAGGACTCAAATAGCACATCACGGCAGTATCTACTTCACATAAAATATCCTAAGAAACAGATAGTATTATGTCAAGCCCTAAATGACAAAAAGAAACCAGCTGCATAGAAACTAGGGGATGAGCATACTAGACAAAAGCAAGTGAGAAAAAGAAAACAGATTCAAGAAACACAGACGACTTCTGAAGAGCGGTGTGCAAATGTAACAGACATAAGAGGCTGGAAATACAGACACCAGGCCATAATTGGGACTTGCTGAATAAAAGAGAAGTTACTATAGAGAAGTGAGATACTCCAATTTATCCTTACACTTTGAAATCATCCCCAAAACAAGTATTAGTTAAATAAGGAAAGGAACAGATTCACTGTACTGTGCACATGGTAATGGATATATGAGTATGTGACAATAAGTCTGACCTGAAAACAGGAATTTGAGAATCACCCATCCATACATATGGAGTCTACAGTACAGATGAGTCATGTTAGCAGAATGAAAACAAAGCCCACAGCTTTAAAGCTTGGGATTTGGACAAAGAAACCTACAAAGAAAATCAGAAAGGAAAGAGGGAAGACTGAGTGAGTGAGCATGATACTCTTGCACATGGGAAGTGAAGGTAGGAGGCTCAGAAGTCCAAAGCCTACCTGTACTACAGAGCAAAAACTTTGTCTCAATTAAGCAGGGGCTGGAGAAATAGTGGTAGAGCACTTGCCTATATAAAACCCTACATTAAGTCCCTAACACCACAGAACAAACATAAAAGACTACAAAGCAACAGTCAGTTAAAAAAAAAAAAAGAAAAGAAAAGGAAGGAAGGAAGGAAGGAAGGAAGGAAGGAAGGAAGGAAAAAAAAAGAAAAAGAAAGAAAGAAAGGCTAAAAATTATAACAATGCAACAGGAAAAGTCTTTTAGGAGTGACTCATTTAGCCAAATCTTTTAGAAAGTTCAAGATGAGCACATGGGTTACTATTTGATTTGGCCACAATGAAAGCACCACCTAGCAGAATAGAAAACTACCTTCAGAATAGAAGAACTGATTTCAGAGTGTGCACACATGAGGGACAGAAGTAGAAGCTGAAGCTTCATGACATCCCTGCTCTGCTCAGCTCACTTAGAAGGCTCTTCATGGTCTCTCCTCTGGCAATTACGAGTTACAGATGTTTGGAATAAAGCAAAACCATGGTACTGACTGCACACACAAAAAAGATATCAGCCTAGAATTGAGAGTTAACAGTGCCTGGTAAATGCAATACCATTCTGAATGTATTTAAGAAGCTGCTGCTACAACAGGAGCACACACACACACACACACACACACACACCCACACACCTGTCACATACATAATTTGAAAATCACACCTGCATACTTAACAAAGACAAAAACTCTGTAGCACATGAGCAAAATCCAAATTGCTTTCAAAACTGTATTTCTGATCTGTAATTTTCTTTCCATATGATAAACTCTAGTAATGATTTCTGCACATCTGTGCTGGCTAACTTTGTTCTAACAGCCAAAACATAAAGAAAAAATTGAGATGAAAAAAAAAAAACTGATAGGAGAAACACAAGGGCAGGTTGGACAGTGTTAAAAGGGAGAAAGGAAGGGGAGACCAAGCCAGCATGCAATCTGGAGACAATCAGACCCTCACTAACCCAAAGACAGTCAGAGTTTAAGGCTGTTTGCAAATCATTCTATACAAATAAAAGAAATTTCAGCAAATAAATCACTAAAGGAAAGTGCAATGCTAGGGAGCTAGAGTTAATGAGAATTCCCAGACTAAAGACAAGTTGTGGTTGAAGCCGTCAATGGAAACCACCTGTTCCCGTTTACTAGAGGACAACAATGATATATTTACTACATAGACAACTGATGTCCTATGTCCTGAGGCAATAATTATTACTAGCTCTCACTATATTACTAATATGCTTTCATAAAGTGTTCCAATTTGGCTGATAAATTATATTTTTTTCCCCAAAGACAGGGTTTCTTTGTGGAGCCCTGGCTGTCCTGGACTGGCTTTGCAGACCAAGCTGGCCTTGAACTCACAGAGATCCACCTGCCTCTGCCTCCCCAAGTGCTGAGATTACAGGTGTGCCCCACTGCACCTACCTGATAATTTATACTATTAAAAATACATAGAAATTATATATATATATATATATATATATATATATATATATATATATATACCATTAAATCTATGCAACTACGATTTGCTAGTGGTAATATGCTAATGACAAACAAATATTAACATTTAAACGATAGGATTATAATCTAGCCTTTTGTTATTTGAACCACAACTCTCATAAACTGAAACAAAAATGGGGCATTTAGAACTAGAGGTGATATAGAAAACTTGAACAGGGTAATAGCAAGTAAGAAGACTGAATTTGTTATAAAATATCTCCATTCTCACCCCAGAAAGAACACAAGCCCAGGGCTAGACAGTTTCACTGCAGCATTTTACCAAGCTGCACAAGAAAAGGTAATGTAAGCCAGATGTGGGGGCACCTGTTGCCACGCCAGCTCCCCCAAAAGCTGAGAATATTGTTAAGTTGACACTGATGCTAGCCTGGTAACTTAATCAGACAGACTCTTTCAAAACACAAACAAAACAAAACTAATGCAAATTTGTCTCAAACTAGTTCAAAGAACTGAAAGAAAGAAAACTCTTCCAAAGTTGTTCTACCCTGATACCAAGACCAGACTAGACCACAATTAAAAAAAGGGATCCACAGACTCAAATCTCTGATGATTATAGCTATTAAAATTCTCAACAAAGTAAGTACTAGCAACTCAAAGCCAACATATAAAAAGGCTATATATCATGGTCAAGTAGGATTTATTACAGAAATGCAAGGATGCAAATCAATGCAAATCAATAAATATAACACAGTGTGTCAGCAGAATGGAAAACAGTATCTTTATGATTGTCTCAAAAGATGAAGAAAAAACATTCAGTAAAACTCAACATCTTATCCTAAAGAAACAAAGAAAAGAAAATTAGGTATAAAAGGAAATTATCTCAACACTGCAAAATTCCTATATGACAGACCACAGCCAACATCATTCTGAACAACAACAACAACAAAAAGCTGAAATGTTTTCCTCTAAGCTCAGGAGCAAGACAAAGATTTCTACTTTCACTAATTGTTTATTTCATATAGTACTGGAAGACTTAGGGCTAAAAGCAAGACAAAACAAGAAAGAGCATTCAAATGTTTAAAAAAAAAAAAAAAGAGGTTAAACAATCCCTGTTCTCAGACAACATAATTTTCTAGAAAGAAAAATTGACTCCACAAAAACCAATTTAAACTGATAATCATACTCAGTAAGCATGGAGAATATAGCATTAGCAGCTTTGGGTTGGAAAGTATAGTTCAATGACAGCATGATGGCCTTGCTTGCATGAGGTCCTTGGTTTGATCCTCACCACCACAAGACTAGCTTTTGAGAATTAAATAAAGTAACCTATTCACAGCAGTTAAAACAAATAAACATATAAACAAAATTTGTAGGTATCAAAGAATAAATTTAGTCAAGAAAATGAATAATCTCTGTAATAAAATTTATAAGGAACATGGTGAAGGAATTCATGGAAAGACATCCCATGTTCATGAACAGTATGAACAGTATAATTAATGTTGTTAAAATATTCATACTACCCAAAGTGTATAAAATATTCATACTACCAAAATGGTCTACAGGTCCCCTGTAATTCTTATCAAAACAAAGTAAGTACTTTATCAGCTGAGCTATCTCACCAGCCCTCTATCAAAGTACAAATAACACTTGGCATAGATATAAAAAATATATACTCCTATAACTTGTACAGAACTACAAAAGACTCCAAATAGCTAAAGCAATCACAGGCAACAAGCATAGGAAAAGAGTCAGGCATGGTGGCTCATATCCCAGCATCTGGGATCAGAATTTCAAGGTTGGTTTCAGCTATATACTGAGCTTCAGACCTGCCACAGCTATACAGTGAGTTTGAGATCATCAGAGACCACGTGAGATTCTATTTAAAAAAAAAAAAAAAATCAATGTTATGGTAACCAAAATAGCATGGTATGAGGGGAAAATAAATAAATCATTGGAACAGAACAGGGAAACCCAGAAAAAAACTCATATATTCATAGCAAATTAAACTTTTACAAAGGCAGCTAAAACATATGTCAGAGAAAAGTCTTTTCAACAAATGGTATCAGAGAAAGCGATAACCATGTGCAGAAAAAAGAAACTACACTTCTATTACTAAACACACACACTTACATACACACACAAACACACACGCACATATACACACGCACATACGCACATGCAAACACTAAACTAAAAAACAGACCAAAGACTTACTTACAAAAAGGATGAAAACAAAAACCTGAGGACATGCTTCAAGATATTGATCTGAGCAAAGATTTTTTTTTATGACTTCAAAAACAATGACAACAAAAGCAAAACGTAAATGAGATTATATCAAATTAAAAAGCTTTTGTAAAGCAAACAAAATAACAAAGTGAAGAACATGAATAAGAAAAAACACCAGTAAATTAGTGACTCATTAAGAAATATATGAGAACTCAAATATCCATAGTGGCTCATGACTGTCGTCTTAAAACCCAAGAGGCAGACACAGGATTATAGGCCAGGCTGGGCTACAGCAAGTTACAGGCTAACCTGGGCTATATAACAAAACTGTGTCTCAAAATGAAACAAACGAAAGAAACTCAACTCAACAACCAAAAATTTCAACAATCTGGTTTTTAAAATGGGTGAATGATCTGAAGTACTACCTTTCAAGATATATATATAAAAGTACATAAACAAAACTGTTCAACCATCCCCAGTCATGGAAATGCAAATTAAGCCCTGCAAGAGATGCCATTTCACATTAATTAGAACAGATAGCCTCATAAAACAAGCAATGGCATGAGGAATAGTATGAGGAATGAGACTGTTCATATACTGCTGGTGGGAATGAAACCGAGGGTAGCCATTGTGAGAAGGGCACACAAAGTCCTCAGACAGCTAGAAACACAGCTACTTCATTTCAAAGAAATTCATGTCAAAATTCATGTCAAAATGAAATCTGTCTGCATGCTCATGTTTACTGCAGTACTATTCACAATAGCTAAGATATGGAAATTGACCTACACGTCCACTGATGGATGAATAAAGAAAACACAGATACTGGAATAACATTCATTCATAAAAATGACTGCAATGCTACCAGTTTCATCAACATATAGAATTACAAGACAATGCATTAAGGCACACACACACACACACACACACACACACACACATGCATGCATGCATGCATACACATGCGCATGCACACACACACATACCACATTTTCTCTCATATATGCAAGCTAAAAATCTGCTATCACAGAAGTACAAAATACAATCATGTATATCAGAGTCTAAGAAGGTATGGGGGAGAGAGCGACATGAAAGAGTGTGTCAGTGGGATCACTTTAATTAAGCGTTCTGCAGCGCTGCATATTAACTATGGTTGACCACAATGCTTCAAATATTTCAGCACATCTAGTAAGAAGAATGTGAATGTTCTCAACACAAAGAACGAATGCATATCTATCTCAGATGATGAATACGCCAATTACTCTGGGTTCAATCATTATATATTATAAACATCTAAATGACACACAGTGTAGTTCATCAATATGAACAATTACTGTATGTCAGTTAAAATTTTTAAATACTTTTAAAAGACAGGAAACTAGCAAAATACTAGCAGTTTAAAATTTTAATTTCATTTATTTTCAAAGGAAAAATATATATACAGGTGTCCTGAAAGCACATATAAACATCTAAAATTCAGTTGAGAAAAATTCATACTTGGTGTTTTCAAATGTTTCACTAATTTTTTTTAGTACTTTGTATTAAAAAATACTGATGCCAATGATAATAACAATAAATAATGATAATGAAAAGAACTTCAAACCAACTAACTAATATTTGTTTAATTTTCTTAAAATGTTCTACAATAACCTTCTGAAGTATTTTAAGAGACCTGCATGTCCCTAAGAATCTATACTCTCTTTTATCGGATACACACAGCCAGTGGTGATTCTGGGTAGGAGAAACAGAGATGGTTTACATCTTTCAAGTACTCTTTTCAAGGTGATAAAGTTCACCCTGAAAGTTGCCCAGATCTCTACAGTGAGCGTGGATGAGCCCACCACTACACTTTCCAACAGTCAGCATTGTACCGCATGCTAATATGAGAAAATACAGAAAGGCTTCTATTTATTGTTATCTTAGAATAAGTGATATTCCCATAAAGGTTACCTAAACAAAGTGTGGCTTCAAGCACCAAATCAATAATTTATCTTACTTTTAGCAATTAGCTATAAGTCCAAAGACTATTAAACTTAAAACAGAAATTTTGAAAGATCACCTCTAGAAAACCATAGAACTCAAAATTCTAAACTATGGAGGGAAAACCTGAGCAAATTTTGGAAAAATTAAGAAAACTAATAAACAACAAATTTAGAGACACTCTATCACCAATGTCAGCATTTCAGAAATGTGACAAATTCTAACATGTAAAAAACAAATTAGCAGAAAAAAAGCATCTAATGCTTTCTAGTATCATGGTATCTGTCACCTGCTATGCTACATTACAACACTGCCTGCCACAAGATCCTTGGCTCTTTATTCAACCTCAAAAGGAAAAGTCCAGGATGGACGATCCTCTGTGCCCTTGCTGAGTAAGGCTGCAGACAGTCCAGGGCAACCAAGTCTTCAGTAACTTTCAAGCACTTCACTGCAGAACAATGGCTACCACGCTGTGACCTCTCCGCTCAAGATTCTAGGTTTATTTGCCTCTGACAAGAATCTCAAAACACATAGAGCAATGATTACCAAAAAAAAAAGGATATAGTTCTAAAAATTATTCACTGTACCTTCTCCTAGTTAACAGACTATGAAAATTATGTTTTTATGTACACCTTTTGCTTTATTATTAAGCAAAGTGGAAATTTGTCAAGGTATCTGTTAAATTATAAAGAGGAAAAAACCAGAAAACAACAAATAATAAATAATTTTACTTACTGACTACAAATAGGATTAACCATATCATTCTGCCATACTTATCAATTGCTATAAACATTAGATAAATGTACTAAACCATTCTAACAGTGAAAAACTAAAGATAGTAGATATATTTCAATGTATATGTGTGTTGATACAGACAAACTGATTAAATAATCACATCTCAAAACTGGGAACTACTTTAAAATAGAATTATTATTAAAATTGATCTTAAAAATAAAACAAATTGATAGCATCACTATTACATGACCAATTTATAGGTAAGACTTCTCCAGTTCATTGAATCAGTAAGGCAACAGGCTGCTGTCTCACCTGTAGCTGTTTTTCTGGTTGATAGCATCTGATGTGTCTTGAACTTCTTTAGTCGAAAATTCCAAAAGATGCCTCCTTTGACTTGCTGGATTTACACTGGGTTTCACTCTCCTGGAATCTTGCTCTAGCATGCTGAAAACCAAACAAAGCCAACAAATGAGGCAGCAGTAAAAATTAAAATGGCACACATGTATGCTACATGTAGCTAGAAAGCAAGAAAAATTTGCCTTGTGGATCTGTACATAGAACAAAAAATCAAGGCCTAGAAACAAGTCAAAACACTGATGTCCTTAAGTACTCTGAAGGCCTGGCATCCTGTACACAACCAACAATTTTAAAATAATTGTTATAAGTAGAAAAGCCCATATTTATAAACTTGATTAAACAAAAGCAGTGCCTTACTAGTGTTTCAAACCCCTATACATTATATAAATTGTTCCAGGTTATATTCAAATGCTTCGCAAAGACTTCTCTGCTGAAGGCCTGGGTCCATTGGAAGATGGTGGAACCCTTTACCAGGGAGAGCTTAGCGAATGAAGTCAGAACACTGGGTCATGTTGTTGAAGGCAATACTGGGATCTTAGGCCTTCCTATGCCTCTCTCTTTCACTTCCCAATAATGGTGAGGTAAGTAGACTTCTTCCACATAACATTTCCTGATAATGTACTGTGCCACTACAAGCCCAAAGCAACTAAGCCAGTAACCACTGACTAACACTCTGAAATCAAGAGCCAAATAAACCTTTCTGCTGCTTCTTCTTCTTTCTTTCTTTATTTTTTTTTTTTGGGGGGGGGGGTTTGAGACAGGGTTTCTCTGTGTAGCCTTGGCTGTCCTGGACTCGCTTTTGTAGACTAGGCTGGCCTCGAACTCACAGTGGTCCACCTGCCTATACCTCCCTGAGTGCTGGAATCACCGGCATGTGCCATCACGCCTGGCACCCTTCTGCTTCTTAAGTTGATTTATTTCAGGTATTTATTGCAGTAACAGAAAACTAACATATATGAGTAGAAATGTACGAAAATACATATAAATAAACTTTAAACTCAGATAACTAAGGTAGAAAATCCACCCCAGTGTGGCAAACTGATGTTTTCAATCAGCAAATACTTCAAATGAAACAGGAACTGTTTTCTTTTGATAGTCAAATACATTATTAGCCTTGACACAATGCTAGAGGAATCAAATAAAGTTAAGCAAAAATATTTGTAAATAGTCTATTTCACTTATATGTAAAAGTTTGTATTTACTTCTTTCAACATTCCCTAATATTTTCACTCACCAGTGTGATAAGCATAAGTATTTGAGGGGAAATAATAACACAGATTAGATAGATCATGCACGCATGCATACACACATGCAAACATAGTGAGGCAACTGGGCAGTCAGACACAGAAAATAGTGTGAGAAGTATAATAGTTCAAACTCATTAATCATGTGCTTTGAAATCTAGCTTATCAATATAATTTTGAATACATGTTTTGTTTTATAAAGCTACACACATAATTTATACTAGTCACAATCCAGATTCAACACAAGGGAATTTTTCTCTGGGGAAGCATCAAAGATTTAGAGAATTAAGTGGAAGTGGAAAGTATGGCTCATAAAAAAAGGACGCTTAAGGCTCCAAAGGTCTAAAAGTAAAAGCCTTTGAAAGATACAGTAGTTTATCTCAAATATGGATGAACACATTGGATGAAAAGAGGCAGATATTTTTCTCTAGAATCCTTTTCTGATGTCTTATTCTTTCATCTTCTCAATTCTTTTCCACTAGAAATCACTGCCACCTGCAATTGTCACATGGCATGTTGTCTTTTTTACATTCTGCAAACTCTTTAAAAGTATGTGTTGGTATAATGTTCTTTTGGAATGTACACAATTTACCCTTGTTCATTCAAATGGGGGGATTTCTCACCCCACTATCTGGTTTCAATCCGGACATTGCATTGTGATGTTTATTCTAAGCATCACCTGTCTCAAGTTTGTGTAAACATGCTACCATTTGTTCTCCAATTTGTCAATTAAAACAACCAGCCACAAGGTTGAGCAATGGAGAGGAAGGAGTGGGAGGCAGAGGTGGAGGAGAAGTGGCACGAGCAGAAGCTGGAGGAGAGGTCTTGGAAAGACATGGAGAAATGAATCGAACCTAAGATATCACTAAAAGCAAGTATAATAGGTGAATCTAAATGGTAGGAACTATGCGGGCTTGGAGGTTTAGATGGGGTAACTATTGCCCAGTATTGTGTTCTAGGTTAACAAAATAAATCCTAGTCTCTGTATGGTGATTTGGTTATACAGCTGTTTAGGCTTAACCGCAATGTTACTAAAAGATGTATCAATAGTAAATATTAATAACCTAATACAACAGGTATGTTACCACGTTATAATCACTGGATAAAACTTAATTTCACTAAAACTAATAAACTGTCTTTACAATTGTATATTTCAGGCTGACTGCTTACCTGATCAGCCATGAAACAGCGCAAGCCTTATTGTACGTGAAGAGGCCTACTAGATTAACTGAACCTGAAGAAGAGGTCTAGTACACTGAACCTGTGGAACAGTCCTAGTGGGATGGGTCTAACAGACACTGGGGAAGATGCCTAGAACCATCCCTACTGAACCTGAGGAAGAGGCCTAGGAGAATATCTAACTGAAGAGACCTAGTGAAATGTCAAACTGAACCTGAGGACAGACCAGAGAGAAAGCAGGGAAGGATTAAACAGTAAGAGTTTTAGGAAGCTAAAGACTAAAATTTCTTGTTTTCTTTTTAAGACCTAAAAAAAAAAATCTTTGCCTTTTAATTTGTTCATCTGTGGTAAAAAATTCTATTTATAACAATATTCTAAGAAAAAAGTTAAGAACATTCCCTTTAAGTTGACAAAATCTGTTTATTCAGCCCCTCTGTTATGCTTTGGGAATGCCCTGTCTGATAGACATTCCTGTCTGATAGACACATGCTCTGATCTTCCAATGACTCAGAGAAGACATCCCAGCCTAATGCAGCCTAACACAGGCCTTAAGATTCAAAACTGGGCTTGCCAGATCCAGCACTGGCCTGCCTCAACTCCCTGGGTCCTCACAGCAACCCCAGAGTGGTGGCCAAAGTCACTGCCCCACTTTACAGACTCATAGAGGCTCTTAGGATACCAGAGGCTGATGGACACTTGGGATTCCCCTGAGTTCTGAGTTCTATTGAATGAGCTGGCTAACAGCCATGTAGATCCTATGTATATCTGGGTTGACCCCTCAAAAGGGAAGGACTTTGAAGGACCAGAGAGGTACAGGTCTGTATGGGATAGGCCACAGGCCTGAGGCTCCTTTCTACATGGATGTCCAGCCTCTGGACAAGATCAATGGTATGGGGCTCAAATGGTACCCCAATAAAGCGGTCACTTGCAATATTGAAAAAAAAAAAGATTCAAAACTGGGTTTCCATCCTCATACTATATTGTTGATCCCATTTCCCCAAATGTCTGATTATTGTATCCAATAACCATGTACTACATATCTTTTATGATCCAGGGACGTATTCAGTGGTAAAGCTCCAAGGGGGGGGGGGGGAGATTAAAAAACTAAGTTACAGCTGGGCGTGGTGGTGCATGCCTCTAATCCCAGCACTCAGGTAAGCAGAGGCAGGCAGATCACTGTGAGTTTGAGGCCAGCCCGGTACAAGAAGGCCAAAGTTACACAGAGAAACCCCGTTTTGTTTGTTTGTTTGTTTGTTTGTTTGTTTGTGGGGGAGTTGACAACTAAGTTACTTTGTATAGATGGATAGATTTGATTTGATTGATTGGCTGGCTGAATGACTGATAGACCAGAGAGTGATCAGCCTCATAACAGGGCTAAGCAGAACACCACAAAATGCTTCAGGCGAGAGCACTGGATCTCTACAGAGAGGACCATGAGGTAATCCTAAATTGATAAAGGACAAGGAGGATGAGAGTGAGGAGAGCATCTGATGCAAACAGAACAGTTATCTGAGCAAAGCAGAGTGGCTCAAGAGATCATCATGATTTAAGAAAGGGGAGGCTGTGCAGGAGGACACAGCAGCATACAGTGGGAGGAGGATTATCTCAAGAGAACAGACAGAGCATAATTCAAAGCTAGACTACACATGGCCTTGTCCGCCATTCTCAGCTTGTCTAACAATTTATACAACAGAAACAAATCACACTGTCCTTGGGTTAATTTCTGCTCTTCTGTATATCCATCGTAATCTTTCCAATGGCTAATGGAATTTCCTGGTCTGGTGGCATAATCAATCATCTTCATTTCAAGCTTTAGTGTTACTTGTTTACTATTCATGACTACTGCCAGGAAAGCAAATTATTAGAACAATTCCTTAGCTTTGCTAGCTCTCAGTTGGGATTTTAGCCTCATAAGGGGTCTCCCTAATAAAGCTCTTATGCTTTAAACTGAGAAGTCAAAGTGGCTGCTCTGCCTTCTAAAAATTACTTAAAACACTTCATGTCTCATATCAGAATTACCTTCCTCTAATACAGTGGCTCCAGACTGAGGCATCAGGCCTGGCATAGTGTTATGGCATCAGGCCTGATAGTGTTGCTATCACCTGATAACTGGCTAGGAATGCAAACTGTTGTCTGAAGGAACTCTGGGGGTAGCTGTCTAAATGTCAGTGTTTCAATAAGCTGGTCCAGACAGCCAGTGATTAAAAACCTCCATTCCTTAAGTGCTTCTCGGCCTTTAGAGAGCACTTAAAGAAATGTCCAATGTCCTTAGTCATTAGGGAAATGCACATTAAACCTACTCTGAGATTCCATATTACATCCATCAGAATGGCTAAGATCAAAGGCTCAAGTGACAGCACATGCTGGAGAGGATGTGGAGAAAGGGGAACCCTCCTCCATTGCTGTTGAGAATGCAAATTTACACAAAAACTTTGGAAATCAATCTGCTGGTTTCTCAGAAAACTGGTCTTAAGTTCTACCTTAAGACCCAGCTATACCACTCCTGGGCATATACCCAAAAGATATTCCACCATACAAGGGCATTTGTTCAATTATGTTCATAGCAGCTTTATTCATAATAGCCAAAAACTGGAAAAACGTAGATGTCCTTCAACCTAACAATGGATAAAGAAAATGTACATTTACACAATGGAATATTACTCA